AATGAAACATCTTCAGCTACTTTTTTTTTGACATTTCATCTGTCATAAGATCAGGAGTGTGGTTGTTCAAAGAATAATACTGAAAAGTGAAAATGGAGCAAATTTCAGAAACAGTTTGATTGATTGATTTTCTGGTTGATTGATTTTATTGTCATGTGTACCAAAATACAATGGAAAGCTTTGTTTACGAGCTGTACAGGCAGATCACAGCAAGCAAAAGATGTACAGATCAAAAAGACTTAGAGGCATACAGGTTACATTATTTAAGACGAGAGTCCATTCAACAGTCTGATAATGGCCAGAAAGAAGCTGTTCCTGAACGTACTTGCGCATGTGTTCAGGCCTTTATATCTTCTGCCTGATGGAATAGGTTGTAGGAGAACATTACTGGGGTGCAATGGGTCTTTAATGATGTTGCCACCTTTCCGCAGCAGCAAGCCATGTAAATAGAGTCCGTAGATGGAAGGTTGTCTTCCATGATGTTCAGGGCTGTGCACACCACCTTCCATAGTTTCTTTTGGTCCAGGGTAGAGCAGTTAGGTCACGCAGTTTTGAGATCATTCTGGATGGGATAATGGTATTGAAGGTGGAGCTGTAGTTCAAATACAAGCTACTAGAACTGATTAAAACTATTATGGTATCACTGTCTGGCTCTACAAGATGGTTAAGAGTTACTGCAAGAATTTATCAGAAAACTTTTCGGGAATAAGAAGTGGGAGGGCCGGATAGGTGGGAAAGAAGATGGACAGGTTGTGTCAGGTCAAGGAGGCGGGGATGAGAAGGAGGGTTGGTCATGGGATAAGGCTGGGATTGGGGAGATTTTGAAACTGGTAAAATCCACGTTTAGGGCCATTGGCCTGTAGGCTCCCAAGGCGAAATATGAGGTGCTGCTCCTCCAGTTTGTGGGTGGCGTAATTTTAACACTGGAGGAGGCCCAGGATGGACATGTCACCCAGGGAGTGGGAGGGGGGTGTTGGAATGGTTCGTGACCGGAAGGTGTTTTGTTTGTCCCCATTAGCCCTACCACCCCTAGCACCTTTCCCTGCAACCACAGGAAGTGCTACACCTGCCCCTACACCTCCCCCCTCACCTCCATCCAAGACACAAAACAAACTTCCACATTAGACAGAGGTTCACCTCCACATCCATCAACGTGGTCTATTGTATCCGCTGCTCCCGATGCGGCCACAACAAAAAAAAAGAATCTAACCACATCATTACACATTCAATGTCATGACAATCAATGATACCCTGATTATCAAATCCGAGGAGCAATAATTGGCCAGAAGCTTAACGAGGCCAGCCACCTAAATACCAGAACTAACAAAGTATGTCAAAGTGCTAGTATTGTGGAAAGGGTTGTTCACAACTTCCTAAGGCCTCATCAATACTTGCAATGTTTAATTTTGGATTTTGATAGAATGCTTCCAAATTTCTTCAGTGGGTGTAGATGTAAAAGTTCTCAAGCATTATAATGCAATCTTGGACAAAATGGTGCACTTGATCAGCAACCTATCCATCATCTTAGACACCTAACTTTTCATCACTGGCAAACAGTAGCTGCAACATGTAACATTTAGGAGATACATTGTAGATTCTTTCCAAGGCTTCTTTGACAGTACTTTCCGAGCCCTCAAGCTCATCTAGCCAGAAGTACAATAACAGCAGAAAGTCCTTCAAATTGCACACTATCTAAACTCAAATAACCAGCTTGCTGTTAATTTTCCTACAACATTGTTGAGTCAAAACCCTAGAAAAACATACAGTACTGCATTGTGGGACTACAGAGCTTCAAGAAGGACGCTCGCTGTTCTTAGACATAATTGGTTTCCACTTGAATGATCGAGATGTAGTAGGTAGATTTGTTGCTACCCAACTTCGAATGGATTGCAGGAGTTCTGGTTTGCAATCAGTAATTTGCTGATCTTCAGGTGGTTCGAATCAATGGTGGAGGCAATGGCCTCGTGGTATTATCGCTGGACTGTTAATCCAGAGACCCAGATAATGCTCTGGGGACCTGGGTTTAAATGCCGCCATGGCAGATGGTGGAATTCGAATTCAATAAATACTGATGACCATGAACTCATTGCTGATTATCAGGAAAAATGCATCTGGTTCACTAATGTCCTTTTGGGAAGATAACTGCCATCCTTACCTGGTCTGGTCTACATATGACTCCAGACCCACAGCAATGTGGTTGACTCTTAACTGCCCTCTGGGCAATTAGAGATGGCAATAAATGCTGCCTGGCCAGCGACACCCTCATCCTGTGAATGAATAAAAGACCTCCTGATCCCTTGGTTCTGACACTGGACTTATTTAGGAATGTGAAGAGAAGAAGGCAGTAGACAGGTGTTTCAGGGACAAAAGAATCTCTACATTTATGAAATACAAAAGGAATATTACAAGAAATAAAGGCAAATGCAACCAACAGTGAAATTGACACTATCATCTGTACAGAGGACAGTGATTAAATACACTATTATATCAAATTTGGTTAAAACACTATTAGAACTAAACAGCAGGTTTTGATCACAGAAACTTTTATCAGGCTTCCTACCTTTGGGGTTCCCTGCCCTGTAACCACCCACCTTCCCCTCCCTGCTAGCTAGGTTGGATACTTTGGGGTTTTGGGAGTTTAAGCTCACCAGCGGGGACAAACGTGATTTTGAAGAACGGCTGTTCCCGCTTGCCATACCCAGTGCCTCAATGAAGACTTTGAACGGTGTAGGCCTTCAGTCTGGGTTGAGCCTGCTGAGCTGGTAGGATGCTTTTTGGATTTATCAGGTGAGTACTTGGTTTTCCTGACCTTGTGGTGATTTATACAAGTCGGTTTTCACCTCAGGATGTGTCTGAGGCCTTGTGGTGCCAGTTGGGTTGGACGCTTTTGGAGATTGTCGGTTCCTCAGTCTGTTGGTTCCCCTGGTATGGAACAGGCCTGTGTCAGTAGGTTTCAGGATTGCAGTCTGGGTCCCTCTTCCCGAGATAGTGGTGCAGAGAGCTCTTGGAGAGATAGCTGTTTGGGATCCCTCTTCTGGAGATAGCTGTAGGGATCGATTTCGGGGCTGTAGATCTCTCAGGTGAGGTCAGGGCCTCTTTGCACCAAATCTGCATTCGCCATTGTGTTACTGGTGTTCCCTTTGAGGTCACTTGGCTTGCTGACAGTTAAGAGTCGGTGTGAATGTATTTTGATTAAGTGGAATATCTGGTATCTCGGCGCATGAATATTGATCAAAATTGAATATCTGGTATCTGCAGAGGCCCCATTCAGTCTGGGTTGGGTGGGGTTTAGGCCTGGTTCATTGTTCTTTTAGAGTGGATGCGTGAGTTGGATTTTCAGGCTGAACAATGGTTCCAAGCAGCTCTCTCTGTGTCTGTGTAACTTTCCCAGAGCATAGCCCAGCTGCTTTTATTTTAAACTTTTAAAGGTAATTTGAAAAGCCAAGGATTTTGATCTAGTATTTCAGAATATGGGGATTTTTGCTCAATCCTACAGGTATTAATCTACATTTTTGATGCCCTGAGGAGAAGGATAATAAAAGATAGGATCAATCTTGAAAACGAATAAATGCTTATAACATATTACTAAACAGCTGATTGCATTTATTCTGAGATGCATGATCTGTTGCCAAATAGCAGGCTCAGCATAAGTGTAGGTTTACAGTTCTGAGGAAGGGTCACTGGACCCGAAACGTTAACTCTGTTTTCTCCTTCACAAATGCTGCCAGACCTGCTGAGCTTTTCCAGTAACTTTGTTTTTGTTCCTGATTTACAGCATCCGCAGTTCTTTTGGTTTTTATGTAGGTTTACATTACTGCCACTGAAATCTTCTGATACAGCTCAGAGGCAACTACACTACATTGGTGCAGTGCACTGGTTATTTTAC